GTCTTTTATCTTCCAATGTGATGGTTTTAGTGTTAATCTGAATTGCGCTTCAAAGCTGTTCTCATTTATTTATTCATTTATGAAATCTATATACCACTTCAGTCCAACTAGACTCTACATGCTTTAAATTTATTTAATAAAATACTATAATGATGATGATGATGATGATGATGATGATGATGATGCTGCTGCTGCTGCTGCTGCTGCTGCTGATGATGATGATTAGACTGGTGGCTCCAGAATCAATCCCAAATCATTCCCTAGAAAAGCTGGATCTTTAGAGCTTTCTGGGGTGGCTTAGAATTAAGCCTCATTGAATTTAAGGGCACCTAATTCTGAATAGACTTGTATAGTATTGCACTTTATATTATTTGAAGTTTTTCTCTGAAAGTATAACCTGCTTTAAGGACAATGTATGAATATGTATGTGAAAATTCATATAGAATCAATGGATAATATTAAATGTATCATATGAACCTCTAAATCAGAAGTGGAGATCCTGTGGTCCTGCAGATATTGTTGAATTAGTCAACCCTGTCAAGGTTACTGACAATGACAATGTCGGTGATTGTTGCTGAGAATTAAAATCTGGCATTTTGATTCTACTCATGCTAACCATATTGCATTGAATCTGCCAATCTTTGGATTTTTACATGTTGCTTAAAAGTGGGGGCTGTTGGGCTGACCATCTCCACAAAGACTTCTTAGTTACTGCTAAATGGTACTGCCATTATTTCAGTTGGGAGCGGGAGGGGACTTGAATTGTGTTTGAATGACTCACTTGGTGTTGTATATTAAGGCATTCTGCATTATTCCTGCAGGAACCTGAGGGAAGCTGACTCTATGGTGAGCAATTGTTTCCATGGTGAAATTAACATGGTGTGTTATTTTAGAAGAACAATATCATGAAGCAAAAATGGAAGCTTTGTCTATGTTGCTCTTGAAGATAATGTTAATATTGCTGAAATGCACTGTATAACTGGACACCTATCTATGAGCATGTAAGCACAAATCTCCTCACCTTCCTATACGGCAGAAGTGAGAAATCTTTGGCCCTGAGTTACAAATCCAAGCATCTGTCACTATTGGCCATGCTGCCAGGAGTTGTTGGGAGCTGTAGTTTGGCAACATCTGGAGAACTACTTCCAATAAATCCAAGGTAGGCAACCTAGCGTCCTACAGACATTTTAAACTGCAATCCCCATAATTCCTACAACAGGCAAGTTGGCTGGGAATTCTAGGACTTGCAGCCCTACCAGGTGAGGGAGGACTAGTCTACATTGAAAGGTGGAAGTCCCAACACAAAGATTGTTATCTGTATTTATGCTTTCATGTGCCAATTTGATGACATACAGTTCTCCCCTTGGACAATGGATGTTTTCTAGGAATCCTGACAGATGCTAGCCTTGTGAGTTTCTTGCATTAATATAATAATCTAGTCATGCATGAAGAAGGAACTGCATTGTAGATGTCACAATCTGTGGACAAGCAGATTTTGAGGAGTATTTTGCAGTTTTATCTTTGGAATGCCCATATTATTTATTTAGAGCAAATTAAATTCCATCTGGACGCAGGAGAATTTCTTATACTAATAGGAATTATTAACATAGCATACTAAAATAGTGATTCACTCAGAAACTACTTAATAAAAGTGTGTGTGTGTGTGTGTGTGTGTGTATTTTTCATATTATTAAAATTCAAGAATATATAAAATCACATAACATTTTCAAAGGCACAGCCTTCAGACTTCTGAGAAAAGAGCTGATACTGGTTCCCAAAGTGATTATTCCTGTAAATAACTTGCTCAAGCATATTAGCAGCATGCAGTCGGACGACAAAATCCATGAGACATTGGCAAGAAAATAACCAATCCTAAGAATTACATGGAATGGAAATTTTGAATAGAATTGGAGGAAAGTAGGTTGCTGTTATTATTTATTTATCAATTGTTAACAACTGTCAATTCTCGTCTACCTACATAATTTTTGTTCCTGCAGGAAATAGTTTGATATACATGGGAACTCTCAAGAAAATGTTATGTAATTCTACCGAGAACAAAGATTTTCACACTTAAGACAAATTCAAGGTACGCAGCAGAGCACTCTCAAGGGAACAGGAAAGGTAGAAAGATGGCTTCAGATAGCAGCAGTATTATTCAGTAATTATTTCATTTTTGCACTATAAAGCTGTTCCCTCTCCTGGCAGGCTCTTGCATATAGAGGTCAATGTTTTAAAACTGTAGTTGCATTTAAGTACATTAATTTATGAGCTGTGTGGAGTTTGCTCCCAAAATAATTCTCAGAGTTCTCAAAGTCAAGGGTGGTTTTGACAGTAGAGAGCTCATTTCTCCATCACTGAAACTGGCTCTTGTCTATGGGGCCCAGGCTACTTAAA